ACACACACACACACACACACACACACACACACACACACACACACACACCTTCAGGGAAGAACACCTGAGCTCTTGTAGTTTGTTTGTCTTTAAAGGCCCATGAGGATGAGGGGGGAGTCTTCATTTTGTCACCAGCTAGGTGGATTCACAAGCTTTAAGGAGCCAGGTCCTAATTTAACCCCCATTGTAGCATCGATATCAGCAGAGACAATGGAGATGGGAGCTAATGAGATCTCATGAGAGTGGAGACGCAGGTTTGGTGGCTCCGTTCATTAGGCGACGTGACTTTCAGAAGCAAAGGCGCATATATTTTAATACAAGTAACCGATTTTTGTAAGAAAATGTGATCACTCTAATAATGGTGAGGACTGTGTTCTGTCCCCCAGCAACCACCAACACACACACACACACACACACACACACACACACTGCACCGCTGCTCCATTCAAACAGTGTTTGAATGGAGGCAGCTGCTTTGCATTTTCTACAACTAAAACGATTTAAAGCTGTCCCTGTGTTTTGTGAGTCACCTCGTGTTGAAGGTCGCTGGCCTCTCTTTAACGGCTACTCTCTCTTTCATTTCAGTGTGCAAGGATCCACCATACAAAGTGGAGGAGTCTGGATACGCAGGCTTCATCTTGCCTATTGAAGTTTACTTCAAAAATAAGGTACATTTTACCCACCAGCCAACTGTATGTTTCAACACTGGATTCATCTTTGTTTTGGTTGTGTGATGGTAGAATGCTCCTCTTCCTGCCTTTCTTAATGAGGGGAAGAATGACATGCAACCAAACTCTAACCAGGGACATTGTCATACATTGTAATCACCTCCACCACCAGGCAGCCCTGAAACTACAGTTTTAGGGAAATATCTGTTGAATTAAAATATGTGGAACATATGTATTTTTCCACGAAGATTTGACCATTAGTGCAGTTCCCGTAAAATCCTGCCTGATCAGAACAGGCTGAATGTTTGGCCTGTGGTGTCAGACAAACAACTTCACTCGGCTTCCTTGACTCCTTGACACCTAAATCCACAAACACCTGGTAGGCCACCTGGACCGGGGGCCCACAACTAAAAGGACCCCAAAAAGCTATAGATTTAACATCGTGTTTCGATATGAGAATAATTGAATTATGTTACTTTTCTAACTCATTATACCCCAAAATATCTCACAAATGGCCCCCACTTGGATGAAAAATATGGAAGTTGACTGTATACTACTTACTGTGTACAAAAACATTGTATCTGACTGAGAAATGTTACTCACAAACTCTAACAATTCAAATATGATTTATTATTATTCATGAAACTATCCAGCATTAAATTAGAATGGAAAGCTCCACCTTGAACAGAGTGAAGTACAGACAGACATTATCAGCAGTACTTGCTGATAATGTCTGTCTTTACCCATCACTTGAAGTAAACATTTAAATGCAGCACTTTTACTATGCACTATTAATAGTCTTACTATGAATAGATGTATTATTAAATAAGCTATAAACTGAATTCAGAGTATCTATGATTCAGTCAGTGTCTGCAGGGATTGCCTCCCTGTCCCTTTTTAAAGGAGGGGACACCAAATGGTAGAAAATCAAAGTGGACTTCACTTCAAAGTTCTGCATTTAATTTATGTTTTCTTCCAGCATGACAACAATTCTAAAGCTGTGTCTTTGAAAAGGTCAAGTCAGTCCATAAAGTGGTGTATTTGCATCGTGTGCTGCAGGTTTGCAACACAACTTGAAAATGTCTCATAAGGCATTGTTAAACTTTCAATTTCAGTCATTCTGGAGAACCAGAAGGACTTTGTAGTTAGCATCTGAATGCAGCATAGTGGTGTTGATGCAAGAACATAATGTTGGTTAAGTCGTGATGGTGACCGTTCTCCTCTTTTCCCTCTCTGGGTGGACCACCACTTCTCCTCAGGAAGAACCGAAGAAAGTCCGCTTTGATTACGACCTGTTCCTCCACCTGGACGGCCACCCGCCTGTCAATCATCTCCGCTGTGAGAAGCTCACCTTCAACAACCCGACAGAGGAGTTTCGTAGGAAGCTGCTGAAAGCTGGAGGGGTAGGAGTCCGAGGGGGAGGCGGGACTTGAGTGACACTTCTTAATGCAATACTGCAACTTGTACTGCAGCCCACCCAGGAGGAAAAACTTTCATCTCTTTTTGTTCCAGGGAAAGTCAATGGAGTTCAGTTCTATGTTATGAAACACTCATGCACAGCTCATTCAGTGTCACACATGAATACAGTTCCACTCGACCTGCCTTACTTCAGCCACAGTAGATCTGCTGTTTTTACTGATTAATTATGAACATCATTGAAGAATAAGGCTGATCATATTATTATTGTCAACATATCTTATGAAAAAAACTCAAACGGCTGGCTCTTAAAAGTCAATGATTGGAGCCCCAGTCAAAAGACGTGCTTCCAGTGGAATGACTTTGTTTTGTTAGCTGCGTCATATTACACTGCAGGAGCACCAGCATGACAGGCTGTACACTTACAAACCCAGCTTTGAAATGACCTAACCACAGGTGATGGTAACTGGGCCAAATACAATACACCAGTTTTCACCTTTGTGGCTATCAATGTTGCAAACAGGACATTTGTCAATGTCGGTGGTCAGGTGACAGTCTAACATATTACACATGGCACACGTGGCCTTTGATGTGTGAAACAGGACCTCTGCCCTTTCTTCTTCAATGTTTCTAAGATTTGATTTTCTGAATGTGTTTGCATGCTTTTAGATTCCAAATATTCCAGTGGACTAATAAGGAGGCCGTAATGCCGGTACATTAATAGCACAATCATGTTTTTCTGTGTAAGGAGTACTGTTCAGACCTGAGAAAGCTGCTCTTTGTTTACCTCGAGCTCGCCACCACAGCTGTTCACAAGAGAAGTGTGACTGTGCATGCCAAATGTCATTCTGTTACAGTATATGAGGTGTAACTTAACCACTCCTCTTATCGGTTCTCCTGCTCTGAAGAGGCTTTATTGTTTGTTCACTGAGTCTTTTGTGTATTTCTTTATCATTTGATTTTAGAACTGTTAAATTGTTAAATCACACAGATTCCAGTGATTTTCTTTTGCTTTAGTATTGTTTTAAGAAACTTATACAGTGCAGAATAAATTACTACAAATTTAGCATCACTTAGATCAGCTGATCGCATCACTAAAGCTCTCTATGGTTGTGGGTTTACCATTAGTTGCATCCAGGAATATCCTGATAAGGATTGTTTTGGCCTCAATCCCTGACCTTTTAATATCGGTATTGCCGATACCAAGTCCAATCAAATGCTAAATGTTGATTAAATATTTATCAAACACCTTTAACTAACAGCTGTAACTAAATTCGACCCCAATTTGATCCAAATATCAAAAGTACCACAAACCCGGCAACAGCCATGCTTTAGTTTGGCCCGACGTCAAGCTGATATGACCTGCTTCCTGTTTGTCATTTTAACTGGGGTGAGCGACAAAAAAATAGAAGCAGCTAACTGTGTGTTAAATCTGCATTTTTTTTGTGGCTTACCCCAGTTAAAATGTCATTACATTCCATTAATTTAGCTGACGCTTTTATGCAAAGCCAATCATGCAAGTACATCAACTTCAGCGAACATGCTGAACTGCTTTAAATGCTACATTTAGAAACGATGAGAGATAGAGAACGGGTTCTTTTATGGGATAATGTGCAGTGTGAACACATGACTTTTCTCCACAATGGTGGAACGAACTCCCCATTGACATCAGGACAGTAAACCGTTTAGATTTTGTTGAGTAGGAGCAAGGGCTCAGTGGTAATGGCCAGTAGCAGAGCGTATTGGACAGGCTGGTTTGACAATGTCATTGATGTACGATTGCCCTGGGTCATGCGCAGCACAGTAGGCAAGTCGGTCGGTCGGTCGAAGATTTGTGCTGTCAACTGTCTTTCAGACCGGGGAAAACTATTATTAGTAGAAAAAGGCATGTGAGCGAATAACAGAGCAGGGGACCCAGAACGTCACCCTGAGGGACCCCGCTTGTTCAAGCACAGATTCTCTCCCTGTAAGTGCTCTCTCCTTGAGGTAGGATGGGAAAAGGGAGAGTGGAGAGTCTGAGACTCCCAGTTCTTGGAGGGCGGAGAGGAGGATCTGGTTCATCATGTCAAAACACTGCTGAAAAGTGTAGCAGGATGACGGAGGAGGAGAAGACTGCTCTTGCAGTGTGGAGTTCCTCTGTGATGGCGAGGAGGCCCGTCTGAGTGGAATGGCCCGCTTTGAAACCAGACAGGTGGGGGTCAAGAAGGTTGTTCTGGTGGAGATGTGCAGAAAAGAGGGACATCAGCACATTCAAGTGTTTAAGAACGAAAGAGGGACTGGTCTGTAAATCTTAACATCAGAAAGTTTTGACTGAAGGTTCCTTTAACCAAATGATGTTTCACGTTCACACATTTTCACTTGCATATGGAGAAAAAAGCTCTCAGTGTGGTAACGGAGAGCAGTGGTGCAGTACAGAAATGTGCAGTACAGAAATGATCCATCAGACTTTAATTTAGCTAATACCTATCCATTGAAATCTGCCCCCATATGATCCTTAGGATGGGCTCAGGACATCCCTAGTTGCTTCCTCAGCGTTTGGTTCAGTCAGTCTGTTGGTCCCCTGCCAGAGGACCCCTGTAGTCTGGAGGTTTTATGACTGGAGCTAAGTGCTCTTTATTTACTTTGGCCTGCACCTCCTTCTCAGCCTCAAAAAGGCTGACATTGACCATATCGAAACTCACATTATCTATCGTGTCTCATCACATAAAGATCTGAGAACATTACTTTGAACAATTTCATTGAATTCAAAGTTTCTTTACCAAACCTTGTTCCACTGTTTTGGATATTAATAATGTAATGAGTATTTGGCTTAGCTAAAAATCTTTTGTATTTTAGAGAATTAAACTGTAAACTTTTGTTGTCCTCCCTTTAACAGCAACGGGATCCTCACAAACGAAGTTCAGAAGACTCAAAAGTAAGATTTCCACCATGCTTTGGGGCTCATGAATGAACCAGGCTTCTCTAAAGATGATTAACAACTTGGACAATTCTAGAAAGTGGCACAAATAGTTTGTTGTGTAATGATAGCGGTACGTTTATCCTGGCTGGGAGATTTACCGTCCCAATACAAACACACTGAAGCAGCTGTGCTGTCTGTATTTGCATATTCTGGCCATCGGTGTAGCCCTGTAATGACTGCAGGATATTCCAGCAAAAACTTTAGATTTTAAATGTGTGATGAGTAGACACTCTTGGCAGTGAAGATGGGTGTGCACTAATTAGGTTATACTGGACAACTTGTAGTAACCGTGAACAGTTACTGTACTTTTAAAACACTTCTATTATTGGTTATAATTGGTGTTTTGACTTCTCCATGTTATTTAACAAATGTGTTCCAAAACATCTTTGCTGTTGAATTTGCAGTTTATGCAGGTGATTTAAAGGAAACTGCTAAACAAACTTCATTCACTTTCTTTTCAAAGTGAGGTGAGAAGATCATCATCAGTGTCAGGTCTGTGTGTTCACTGCAGTGCTGGAGTCAGGATGTGCTGAGCTTAGCTTAGTTATGTGCTGAGCACAGTGTTAGATAGGTGGATTAAACAAAGACGTTACACGTCAATTGAAGAGCTTCGGAGGTGTAAGGTGTGTTTATGAACTTTGGACAGAGCCATGCTAGCTGGTTCTCCGTGATACCAGTCTTAATGCTAAGCTAGGCTAACCACACCCTGACTCCAATTCAATTTTTACAGTTTGATATCAACTATTTTCTTATCTCACTGTCAGAAAGGAGGTGAATAGGCGTAAGGAGGTTAATAGGCTTTTAGATTTGAATTGTAATGCCAAATAGCAGACATGCCATGAATGAATATAGAATACAAAAGGAACTGGTTTAAGTCTTTGCTACTGCCTCTCAATACTGTAATCTGATCTAACAATACGTGAATACCAAGATGTCAGCTTTTAATACTCAAATCCTTTTGGATCTCATGAAGTATCAAAAACCTTTAAGTTTCATACCCAGTCCAACTTTTCAACTTTCAAACTGTACCCCAACGACAAATCTTTGAATGCTCTGATGATTTTGGTTTGCTGCTGTTCCTCTGGCAGGTGATGGTAATGCAGGAGGGCTCCACCTCCCTGTTCGCCCAGCACCTGAAGCTGCCTATGCTTCCCAACAGCTCACTGACATCCACCATCTCTGATCCAAAGAAGAGCAAAAGCTTCCATGGCTCAAAGGTCAGTGTTGTTTCCAGGTACCTTCTCCTCTGCCTCCACTCTCGACCCCACCCAGCTCTCAAACTTTTCACCTCTTCAAAGGATCCAGGCCCTAATCCCCCACACATTGGGCAGGTTCAAAGACCTTTAAGATATTTAAACCCAGGCATTTCAAAGAGATCCAACTTTTGCTGAAGCAAACTTTTTGTTGGCTGCCGCTCAGCACTGATTCAGAGACATGCTGTGAATCTTTGACCTGGGGGTTAGACAATGCCCATATTTTGCTCCAATGTCCTTTTAAAACTTCTTAAGTTTTAGACAATAACATACACAATTAGTAAAGGGAATCAATGAGAAAGATGGGGAAGAGAGAAGGCATACATGATGGGCCTACAGGTGAGAGATGAGACATCTCGTGCACCACTAGATCATGTATGTCAATACGCCAGCATGTTGTTCCCATTATGTTAGTTTTAGTCCCTTTAAATAGTGTCATTTAGGAGCCAGGTTAGGAGAGGCCCATTTCACATGGAAACAGTTTCCAGTCTAAACACAGTGTGTGTGATGAATTACTTGTGGAGCAGGAGGTCACACACACACACACTCAATTCAAAAGTAGTGTATCGCACACTTTTATTGTAAAAGTACTGCTATATGAACAAAAGTGCAATAACATTTGGTTCACGAGATGCAGGTAGCATGTTTTTCATACTTTGTTGGCATCTTATTCTGAAAACCGGATGTTCGTTTAAAGAAACCGGATGTTATCTGACGTTAATCTTTCCGCTAACTTTCAAAGTCCTTCGCTCGCTCCCGATATGTGCCGTTTGAATGCGTTTACCGTGAATTTCAGCATATAGGTGCACTAAAGTGTAAGTGTCTCCTGACTTTACCGCAGCGATGTCCAGTAGTCTCCAGGGAGAGCAACAGCTGGTGCAGCTTCTCTCTTTATTTCTGCCCCCCCCCCCTCGACCAGAAGCGGAAGTCACCTTTTCTCTATGGCAACCCTGAAGGGACATCATATCTCCAATACAAAACGATAAACATGAGACAGTCTGTTACAATAATAATAAATTCAAAATACTTACCTGTTTTTTTTTGTTTTTTTGTTGTTGTTTTATTATTATTATTATTATTATAACCCCTTCAGGGATTTACATGAACTTGGGTCACCTGCTAACCTGCCAATGTCACGGTGCTGAAAGGTCTGTTAAAAAGTGCCACTTTAGTGATCTCTTCAATGTTGATGGCAGCAGAGGCACTAAAGCAGGTTTATGTTGAGGGAGATAGGTTCACTGCTGCGGAGGAGTCCACTGGAGTTCAGAAACGAGCCGACAGCTTTACACCCTGAGGTCCCGGGGTCACACAAAATATAGGTTTCAGAGGTGGTTGGCCCAAGTTGTGACCCCCCGTCATCGTCTAGACTGCTTTAATGGCTTTACTGCATTGATGAAATATTGACACGGGGGCTGGAGGTGAGACCCAGGGACAAATGGCCCCCGCCGTTAGAAGGAATGCATTTCCTCCTTTCTCCACATTGCCCTTCGCTCCACTTTTAAGGGTGCACATGTGGCTGCTGAAAAGGCCCCCTCACCCCACTGAACAGCACTGTTCAAAAGAAGTACTGAGTTTGCTCTTTAAGCCCATAGATGTGGACTAAGAAGACCCTTTTTTTATAAGAATAGACCTCTTTTCACAGACGGTAATGCCAAACTACAGGGTGGCATGTGTGTAAGAGGCAGAAGATTAATCTTCATTTGACCTTGCTGCCTGGTTTTTGCTCACTTTGTTGTTTGGTACTATACATTTTAGAAGTACTACATGAAGTCCAAAGTCAACACAATACGAAGAGCAAGAGGACAACATTATCAGGAGTCATGTTTCTCCTGAATGCTGAGATTTAAACCCAAAATGTTTTTCATATTCAGGGTTATTCAGTTATTTTTAGTGGCACTTACTTATATCAGTTATTATCACAGCAATACAAGCCCATACCGTCCTCAGACGACAGTATTTCCCAGTGGCTAATTATCTGCTTGCTCTTTTATGTTTGCCCTCTGACCTAAAGTGGGATTTCCCTCTACCCCGCTCCATAATCCTTTGAGCTGAAGTTTATTCTTCTGTAGCTTATATGATTCTGTGTAATTCTGCTCTAACACCCTAAATGTTGGGTGAAATTCCTTCAGACCTGACTGAACTTGCCATCATGCAGTTCGTACGTCATGATTTGGACCACGAAATCTAAACCTGTTGCTCATCGTTGAGCCTTTTGTTCTGTAGGATGGGTTCATACAGTGATGGATCTTTCTCACGTGTTGGCTTTGATTCACAGGACGGCTCCAAAGGAAGCGGTATCACCCTTCTCACCACCGCCACAACCAACAGCACCAACAGCAGCAGCTTCTCCAAACTCCACAAGCCCTCCAAGGACCACAAAGACAAGCCTCCAAAAGACTTGAAAGAGCCCAAAAGTGCCTTCAGAGACTCTGGCTGGGAACCCAGCAAAGCCCCCAAAGAACCTTCCAGGAAACCCAAAGAGAACCAGCCACTTAGAGATATCAATCCTAAAATGGGCTTCAAGGAACCCAAGTCTTTGTCCAAGGAGCATCGGACTGAGGGGACGACTCACGGGTCAGCGCTAAACAAGCGTCTGTCAACCCCTGACGGGGACGATCACGTGACCAAAAAACGTAAAAAGGGATTTGTGGATCCAGCAGGGAAGCAGACGTCTGGGTCAGACGCTCAACATTTGGATAAGAATCTCTTGAAGGATAGATCGCAAGTGCGAACGAGTAAACTGCGACCGGAAGGTGACGAGGCAGACCGCAGGAAGGTGTCGACACTGCCGCCATTCCAGGAACTGGTGGACCCCAATGACTCGGATATGGAGGACCAGTCCACCAAATCAGATGTAAGTAGAACGTCTTTCTAGTTGTTATCAAAACCAAGAGTGTAAGAGTTCTTAAGAGTACATTGGACTCACTGATTTGAGCTTTCAGGCCATTTTACGGAAAAAGTAGTGAAAGGAGCGGTTGTGGACAGCAGTCCAGTTCTTCCAAGGCTTTGAAGGGGATGGTTTGTTGGTGGTCAGTCCTTCCTTGGCGTGGAAGCGCTATAAAATCAAATGACCAACAGAGAGAGAAGCTTCTGTCATGGGGGTCCGGTGGACTACACAGGGCTGGGCAGGGGAAGAAGTGGTGGCCGTCATTAACTACTTCTTAGCTTAGCGTCATTAGCTGCATTCATCTGGGTGGCCAAACAGGAAGCGGACAAAACTGGAGTAAGAAGGTTAAAAGATACAGTTTTGTTGCCCTGTTAACAGCAAGTGTTTTCGTAAAGGAAGTAATTGAATATGGATGTGGAATGTGCTCAAGTATTCCTCTCCAGCTGCACATCAAGAGCACTTTTAGAAAACTTCATGTCTACAGTGGCTGCTTTCATGAATAGGCTGACATTTGACTGGGTTGCCTGGTCCACGCACATTTGGTGGAGAACCTCCCCATGAAGACGGACTGTTTTAAAGCCAAATAGTCGACAAGAAAGGTTTATGGTTTTACAACACCTGAGGAGAAAGGGAAGACGCGGCAGTGAATAGCCCAGAGTTCCCCTTTAATCCTTTTAGTTTTGAGAGAAGAAAAAGGGCGAGCGTTTGTTGGAGAAAGGTCTTCGTGCTTTGAGCACTTTTCTTTTATGCGATGGTGTTTTCATTTCTATTCTCTAAAGCTTGTATAAAGCGTGGGTCTTTGTCTATCTTTCTCCTTAGGGGCAGCTTGTTTAGCCAGGGGAGTTATTACTTAGCACTAGCAGAACCCGTGTTTTTGTCTGCGCTGTATGTAAATGCCTTTTAAAGTTTTCCCATACCGAGGCTGGGGGTCGGCCGGTTGTAAAGGGGATGTGGGTTGACAAATGCCAGGTGTTTGATCCTCCCCAGGCCAGCGACTCCGGTGGGCGAGCGCCGGGCCGACACAGAGCGCCACTCTCATTTCTCATGTGACCACTTGTTTGATCTCGGTGTTTTCCTCCGAGCACCGGGCCAGAAACAGCAGAAGGGAGGAAATGTGGAGTAGGTGATGACATGAAGGGAGAGCAGGCTGGAGCAGTAGCACGGGAACCTGTTTAGAGCACTGGATGTGGGCACAGGAGGAGGGATCCGTCACCTGCACAGGTTTGTGTTTAAAAAAGCCCAAATCCACTTCCTCACAGATGCATGCTTTGTAGATGGCTTAAAGTATTTTTATCCGACTGATGTCTGACACTCAGAAACAACTTAACCCTTTAATGTTAATCCAGTGAGGTTTTGTTTTCTTCATAGAGCCTATGGACGGTAATAACAAAACATGTTTTTTATTTTTTATTTTTTAAGCCTTTACCAAACTTAGTCACCATTTACAAGTAAATGTGCATGTTAGCAATCTGCATGTATTAGTCTCCCTTACAGTGACAAACAGATTATTTATATTGAGAGAAATTATGAATACAGCACTTCAGCTATAACATGGACAATAAACATTTTAAAAGATAAATAGAAGGGTCAAATAAATACAGTTAAGGTTATATGACCTTAACTTACAGTGAAAAGGTCTGGTTTTAAAATCCCAGTAGCCTTTGGGTTTCTCTGGGTGTGGGCTCACTGGAGTGCCAGAGAATGCTCAGTCAGGTTGAGGAAAGTACAGCACATGTTTCAGCTACAATGACCTAACAGCTGAGAAAACCATGAAAGGGTTAACCGCAGCAAGACTGAAAATGAGCCGATACATTTGTGTCGCCAATCACGACATGTCGGTATAAATGAGTTGGCTGTGTTTGAATGAATCTACAGTGTCAAACTGAAACAGTTTTGTTTGGACAGCCCCTGCTGCATCAGACAAGCACACCGAATGCTCTTGCTTGGTCTTGTTTGCTGGCATTTCTTGTTGGCCAGCCTAACTGTGCCAAGAGTTAAGAGAAGAGGCCAGATCAGTGCCGGCCAACCCCCGGCTAAAGACCATTTATTGTCTTTGAGGAGGGCAGCTTGGGCGGCTTTGAGCAAAGCGGGACAAAAGCCCTTAAAAGGAGCGGTGGTTAGATTTATGGCCCTGTGAAGAAGCTGTCCCATAAACCAACAGACCAGCTGTGTGGTGTTTGTTGGCGGGAGGTGACAGCCATTGAAGTCGCTCTGCCTTTTGTCCTCGCGTCTCTCTTTTTCTCTCATGTTTCTTCTGGAAGTCGCTTCTCGCCACAACAAGTACATTTTAAACTCCTGTTAGAATGACATGTTTTAAACCCACATCTCTAGTTGTTGTGCGTGGGTCACAAATACTATCCCACTTACTATGGGAAACTGTACATGTTGGGAGACTGATTCTACCACGGTACCTGGTAGCTGTCATATCTAACAGCCTCATCCTCACTTTGAAAAGCTTTGGCATCTTCTTTGCAGTTCTGCTACATTTTACAATCTAGGATGTTTTAAATGGACAGAATTAAAAACACAACACTGGAGCTGTTAGAGGTGTATATACCGGTTCTGCTCTACTTGGCGGTGAAACATTCTGATGGTAACAATACTGCTGACAATTTCTCTTACATGAATATAGACGTTTTCAGAGGGCCCCTAAACACGACACAGCACTTCTGCATTGGTTTTGCATTTTGCCACAAGAGAAGTCCTTTATTTCCAGTCACATAGAAGCAGAAGAACCAGAGCAGGACCAGAACACCAGAGTCCTGCTCTGTCTCTGTTCTTCACGTCACTGGCCAAGAGGAAACTCGTGGTTATGTTCTTCTTTGTTAGTGAGATTGTGGAGGTGCAGACAGGCAGGTGGTGCTAGTGACTTGCAAGAGCCCAACATAATTGTGCCACAGTCCATTATGTTCTACGGTTCTACCTTTTGTAACTATTAACACCCATCCTTTTGGCACTTGAAAGTAGGAAAAAAACATTTTGTGACGGTCTGAGGACTGACACATTATGAATAAAGGGAGTTCATGTGATTGACGGTCGACCATCATAAACACCCAAAGAAATCCGAACATGAAAATATGAAGAATCGAATCTCAGACACATTTCAAGTCATTTCCACCAGCCGTCTTAACTTCAACTTTAAATGAACAACCTGCTTTACTTTACTATGTTTTAGAATATTTGATGTCAATTTCAACAAAGTTGCAGTATAACTGTTGTTAATTTTATTAGAATCCAAGGCAGTTTTGGTGCGACATCATTTTACTGTATTTGACCTCTAATAGTGATTTTAATTTATATCATATCAATACCGAGTACTGTGACTGTTTTGCCACAATAATTAGATACGTCAGATCCTTCCTAACTATAGGAGAACAAGTCTTCTTGGTTTTCTGGCACATTTCTACTGAATTCAGGAGACTGATGGCCCAAAACAACTTTCTCTCAGTTTGCTCCGCTGTGTGCATTTTGATCATGTTGATCATTTCTCCATTCAGTCTGTCATGTACTGTGTAGCGGTGTGTTGTGTCCTTATTTCTGTCAGATGCTGAGAGCTCTGTTTCAGAGCGCTGACACTATCTCCTCCTGGAATACTGATGAGGCCTGTTTGTCTCACACACAACACTTACAAGCAGCATTTATCTTCACGATCTATTCATCTGTCAACTATTTTCTCGATTAACTGATTCGTTATTTGGTCAATAACATGTCAGAAAATTGTGAAAAATGCTCTTCCATCCTGATAACGGTCCAAAACCCAAAGATGTGTTTACTATCATAGAGGATGAAGAAAAGCTGAAAATATTCACGTAAAATAAACTGCAACAGGGGTGTTTTCCCATTTAGGCTTAAAAACAAATGAATCGATTATCACAACAGTTGACGAATGGACTATTTGTTGCAGTTGTACTTCATTGTTTCCTTATAGTATTAGTTGTAATCAGAAATGCAGTAGAAAAATGTAGGTTACTGTTGTGTTGGTTGTCGTCCTTCTTGTTAAATGCCATGACATGTGCTCGACCGATCCTGAAAGCACCTGAAACTTTGAAACATGTAGCATCTCCTCCTGATGTGTCCCCACCGTGGAAATACAAGCAGAACCTGTGGCCGGTGTTTTGTTTGGCTCCTGCAGTAGAGTTGGAGCATGACCATTTTAGGGCAATATTGATTGTGTATGATTTTTGCATCAATGTGATTTATCAGTTATTTCATTTGCAGGCTTGGATTGCTAAAAAAGCTCAACGCACTGCAACGTCAGAGAGTCTGCATTGAATAAAACAACACATACCAAGCATTTAGAAACGGCATAAAGAAAACAGGCAAATACAGAAATGCTGCCTCTTGATTAGTTAACCTTCATGCACTACGAGGGCTTGGTGATAATTCAATATCATTTATTGGCTTTCAATGTAATCGTATATATTATTATTGAGATATGTGATAATATCAAGCATAAACTAACTCTGATTTCTCAGAAACTGATTAAAATCAGTGAAATCAAACCATTGTCTGAATCTGCATGTGTGTGCATGCATGTAAACATCGTCAGTGTACAGCTGGAATTATTTGTGCTTTTTTTCTTCCTCTATAATTTCATAAAAAACTTAACAACTTCAGTGCAAAAAGGAACTTAACTACATGAGAAAGTACTCCGTACTTTGCATTTGTAAAGTACTGAGTATAAGGAGGAAGCAGAAATAGGCTTTAGCATGTGGTTATTGCATATAAACTATTATTGTATTGAATAACCAGAAAAGATGCTGTATCTTGATATCTAGATATCAAATGACTTATATCGTGATAGAAGATATTTGAGGTTTTTGCACTGTGTCCTCTATTTTTGTCGCTTACGATCTGGCAGCTTGTCGCTACGTTTGTATAGAGGTGGACGCCCAGAAACGTCCTTAACACAGCAAAATGAGACCATCCAGAGAATCCATGTGACTTGCTGGGTGTGTCCATTTCATGTGCACACGTGTCGGCTAGTGTGAACTCATTGTTCCCCTGAGCATGCTTGTTGTAATTTACGAGCTGCCCACACATCTAAAGGTCTGTTTAAAGTGGACTGTCTCAAAGTGATAAGAGCTGGCCAGTGTCAGACAGACCACACAGCTGCTCACTTTAAAGCTCATTTTATCCACTCTTTCTTTTCTTCCTATATTGTGGATGGAACAAGACAAGAAAAGCATACTACTGAAAATGTATCTCCGCTGTCAGCTGCCAGTGTGTGTAAGCTCATTGAACAAAGCAAATGCACCGTTGCCTATAACTGATAAGGAATGTCATATGCATAGTGTGTTTCTGTTGGAACACACGTTTCATGGATTATTTCCTCCTGTCATCTGGGAGGGTCATCAGGTTCACAGACTTGCAGAGTTGTGTGCTAATATGAGACGGTGTGATCCTCGTCATGAGATAAGTTGACATGGACAGGGGTCAGGGTATCTGCAGGTCTTGAAAGTCACAAAACGTTTTTAAAAGTCATTTTATTTCCAAATTTAAATATTTTTTATTACATTAGTTATAACTTCTCTGATATATCTGATGGGAGATGTACAGATATAAAGGTGTAATTACTGCTAGCTACAGTAGTTAGCGTCAATCTTTGCAAAAACTTAAATTCTTTTTTTTTTTAATTACCAAAAAAATCCATATCATCGTCAAAATATGTATCATGATATATGCTGTTTATTAAGTGTGTCCAAAAAAGGAACATTTGTATATTAGTATACACCAGTGGTGGGCCAGCAAGGCCTTCTCTGCTGGCCTAAACAGAATCACAAAGTTAGAGCTATTTTATAATTTAATATTTTTCCTTAAATACACTACATGTATTGTAATATTTTCCCCATTATCTTATGTTCTCATTGCACAGCTACTGTCTTCCTCAGTTGCTCTGCTTCCAGTGCAGCTTGTTTTAAGGAGAGCTTTTATCCAATCAGATTTCACCTCTGTGTCTCTAGGTAAGAACAGAGGCCAGAGGCCTGCAGACTCACAAGTGCATCCATGTGCAGTTTAAGTGAATGGGGACGATATTGTTGATTGTCATGGTGTTCAACCAATCAGATCTTTAGTTTGACATGTTGGGCGTATTCTTTGACGTGTCAGAGCCTGCTAGCTGGCCTAGCCATACGTGATTGGTCAGTGGGCTAGCCTGACTTGTTGGGCGGTGACAATCCCAATATCTGCTGTCTCTGCTGAGCGGACATTTTCAGCCTCAAACGCATTAAAACGTATTCAAGAAATACAACTGGGGAGGCTCGACTGTCTTCACTGGCGTCCATGAATCCAAAAGGACTTCTTACTGGAACTAAAACGCACGGATGTACTGAACAACCGTGAGATTAAACTCTTTGTTAACAAAGAAAGGAGGATGGACTTTGTCTTTAAATAGTGAACAGCAGCTCTGGTAAGTGAACTGCTTTTGTTTTTACATCTGCAGTAGCTTTATATGCTTGTTTATATATTATTATTTGTACAACTTGTTTTTATGAATACGGATTTTTGTTTGGTTTTATATGTGATAGGAACTATTGTTAGGTCCAATGTTGCTCTGGGGACACATTTAGTCGGTGCCAGTGTTGCCAACTTGGCGACTTTCTCGCTAAATCTGGCGACTTTCCAAACCCTCATGGCGACTTGTTCTAGTGTTGTTGGAGACTTGTCTGGTGTTTTGACTCTGACGTTAAAGCGCGTACGTTCTGCACTCACAGGTCACTCTCACAGCAGCCTCGCGCAGCAGTCCCAGCTGCAGTCAGAGCAGAGGAGACGCACTCTCGGCGTATTCATGTATCTGCACTCTGCATGTGTATTTATAGGTGTTGAGCTTCATTTTTACACGAAACAAATAATAACCGTAGCTGTGTTTCAGCTGCAGGACAGCAGTGAAGGCCCAGGTATAACATGCACGGCCCGCCACTGGTATATACTACGACATAAAAACGTGGTAAATATTAGTAGAACAAACGTTTACTTAAACAGAACCAGATTTCAATAAGTAATTGTTGTGTTGGGACCTCCAACCAGCCAGAGGCAGCAGGAATCAAACCCCAGGACTCTCACGTGTTGGGTGGTAGACCTGCCGAAAAGCTGACATGATGACTATTTGAGTGCAGTCACATGCATGATGGTCGATGTCGTGAGCAGTTTTGAGTTTCAGCAGTGTTTGTGTGTAGTTTGCTGCATGTTTATAGCACATCATTTAGACTCAGTGATTTATGGTGCTTGATGGAGATCTGAGGCTCGAGCACTAAAACTGGCCCGGCTCTTTTCAGATGAGGCCAGGAGCACAGCAACAGTGTAGATCTGTTGGATGTCGGCTTCAGGCCCTGAAACGCTATCCAAAGTCTGTTATGCTGGCTTTCTACAAACAATGTGAAGTTTCCAACCCCAAGATAGGATGACCCTGACAACATCAGCAGGCGTATTCCCTCCCATAGACCAGACCGCCATTGCGTCATCGATCGCCAAGGCCGGGCCACGTTTTGGGCAGAGAACATCACATTAGGAGAGAAACAGGAAGATGCCCAAAAGCTGTTGTGTAGCGTGTTGTGAAACATATAAACAGATGAGTCCAGATCTGATCCAGGTCATAAGACCCATGAATACCGTGGCGGCTTTAGTCCTCCTTGTTTGGCTGGCAGGCAGCAAATCATTAACATATTGAATGTGTTTCAGTCACACACTAAATAATCAGCCATGAGAACTTGGACTTCTGGTGGACAGAACGTGGAACGTTTCTTAATATATATCATTGCATGAAAGTGGTCAAAAGTCAACATTGCAGATATCTGCCAAATGATTGGATGCTGTTGTTCACAAACTGTGTTGATCAAATATCGGTCTGCTTCATCATGTGTGTTTTATTTATCTCTGTTTGTTCTCTCTTCTCCCTCCCAGTCCGAACAGCCCAGTCCAGCCAGTTCCAGCTCCAGCTCAGGCTTTGCTCCCACACACCACAAACGGCAAGGTAACTATTTGGAACACGCTTAAGTTTCAGCTGATCTCTTGTTTATCGTCTCTTTCAGTCAGAAATGGTCTGCATAAAGGTCCAGTGATCGATTCCATTGCTCTAGAAATCATTTAGGACTGGAACTAGTGTAAGAGGGTCAGGTGAGTCTAGAATGTGGGACTTGTTCTACTTCTTTACTTGAGGGTGACCTCTGCTTGTGTGTTTGTAATTTTCTCTGCATGCAGTGGTGGACTTCATCATCAGGAAAAGGGTGGCTATTCCTGCCACCACCCACACAGGTAACCTTTCCTGTGAGCCCCCCGTCACATCTGCATACGATACCACCCTCCAGAGCACCCATCACTGCTGATCCAGCAACCTGTGCACATATGTTCTCCTGCTCTCTGTGAGGTCATGGTCCTTTCATCACCATGGAGCACTGTAGTTCATTTTGACTTAATCCCACATACACTGTCCTGCTGCCAGAAATACTTACCAGAGCACCAAATGTGAATAATAATCCGCCGCTGAAAATAGTTCCCAACAAATACCTGATTTCCTCCTGTTTGAGTATGTTTGCTTTTCATAAAATGAAAGTATGTATTTGTGGGCCATTTTTAGAGATTCCTGAAATAGGAACCAATGATGACAGACAGACGGACTAACACATCATTGGTTTTGGTCTTTTTGTGGGATTTGCTGACAATAAGAAAGCTATAAAAAAAAAGCCTCATCCTTTTACAAGTAAAGAGTAAAAGTGTCCGTCGAGCTGCTGGGATCAGTTCTGCATCCACAAGCTCCACCGTACCGTCCCACCATCCCTCCTGCTCACATGACCCACGGCCTCGTTCATGTTCTCAACCGGGCCTCCACATAATAATGAAAGATCTCTGTCACAATCACACAGTGCTGGGCCCGCTGCATTCGGCCATGCAGGATCTGCACTCGGATGACAACGATGACGATTCGGACGACGACGACGACAACGACATGGACTCCGACGTGGAGCGACCAGCACACGCGCATCTCACGCACCACCAACGCAGGTTAGTGAGCCTGAGGATGGACCTCAGACACAGACAGGTCATACTCATGGGATACAGAGGTTGTAGGGTTGTTAGGGAGCAGGTTTGTGATTCTTCTGTGTCACATCTCAATGGAGTACTTTTTGAAATGCTCTCACAAGCAGTGTGGTGAGCTTGCAGTCAAAAGCGAGTTCTGCACAGGGCTTTGATCACCACATTGTGCGCCAGACGTAATTCCAAACTGGTATGAATTTAGATATGCTTTCAGGTTGGCTGTACTGCTGCAGTAAGGCGGCATTGCTAAATAGACATAACATAAATCAGCTGGTATAAGCCGCCATGTGTTTACACCGAGACACGGTATCCATTCCTTTCAAGAGCTCAGGGTTTTTCATATGAATGTGATAAAGTACATTTTCTTCTGGTATGACGTTGACGATGTGTCATGTGAAAGGTGTAGTGGTGACCCCACAAAGAATTCTCACAAAACTGCAGTTCCCTCAGCTCTCCAGAGCTTTAGTCTCTTTTCCTCTTCCTCTACCTGTCCAGCAGCAAACAGCAGCCACAGGTAGAGACTAGTTGGTGAACATAGAGGAGCGTTTAGCAGCTTAAGAGACAGATATTCAGGAGTTGGTGGAGACCAAACTTGAGCTAAAAGACAGTGAATATTATACTTATATTCATCAGATGGACACGAACACAGCTCCAAATGAATGTTAATGTTGCTTTGTGTCTGCTGGATGTTTAAATAGTCAATCTGATATGGCTAACGTGTCACGGGATAATACAGTATGTCAGATGTTGTGTTTACTGCTAGTTCTGCTGCCACCATGTGGTCAAAAACATCAATCAATGCAGCTTGATGTAGCAAGGTTACCCAAAAATATTCAAATCAGTTTTTTTCTTATCTAGAAATTAAAATACACTATCATAATCTAAAGTTGCAGTATTGGAAATGTGTAGAGATGGAGACAGCCTCACTGAACACGTGTAATGCATCTTTTGATGTTTGTCTTTCCTCCTGTGATGAACCACCCAGGGTCAGTTTGAGTGATGGCAGTGAGAGTGACAGCTCCTCGGCCTCCCCCCCATCCCGCAATGAAGCCCCGCCCATACTAAAGACTACTGCTAACCAGGTAACATGATGCTATGTTATGTATTGCTTCTGTTAGTGTTATCTCCAAGTCTCCCAGAGTGACTGACTGTTTACTTTGTCCTCTGTCAGATAGTGGAAGTGAAGAGTCCCACCAAGCAGAACAAGCAGGACAAGAACAGAAACATAGAGTGTGACAAGGTACAGCGGGCTTTCCCTCTTCTGTTTCCAAGTCTGCCCAGTAACATGTGGTAGTCTGGCACAGTACTGTATATTACACTATTCAGACTTTGTGTTTCAATGGGTTAACGTGTCAGAGTATGACATGACACTGATACAACACTTATAGAAATACTTAATAGGTTACGAGTTATTATAGAACATATATTGGTTCATTTTGGCAGCAACGTCTCATGCTGTGTTTCCAAAGATCCCAAAGTCTGGGGTTTGATGAATTCACTCAGTGTCAACATGGTATGTGTTCAATGAAGAGCTGCAACCAGCTGACCAGGAACATGTGAGACAGATACAAGGGAACACAAGGGGACACGTTGATAATTAAAGGTGTCGGTGTCGTTAGATAATCAGTGTAAGTATTGCAGCAGTTAACAGCTCTGCTCAGCAAATGCCATGTTACAAGATGAGGACTGGTTCTATGGTTCAGCACTGATGGATGTGCCCCCTTCACTCAACAGGCTGCTTATCTGAAATCAAATCAAATTCAATTAAATTAATGAATTAAAAAAACAAAATGTGTAAAACTATGTCCGTATCAAACATCATCTGAAATGTGGTGTGACTGTGTGAAAGCTAACTGCATGTAGCTGTGTGCTTCCCAGGCTTACCTGGACGAGCTGGTGGAGCTGCACAAGAGACTGATGACATTAAGAGAAGGTCATATCTTGCAACAGGTGTGTATGTCGACCTCCTGATGAACTGCTCCACCTTTTTCCTCTCCGTGTGCCTCATCTAACTCAGCTACACCTTTCCAGCATGTAACAGTGAGTCCTAGAACCAGAGATATTGTCCTTTTTATTCCACACATTCTTCTTCCTTGTGCCAACATTACCCACAATGCCAACAGTTGGGTGGTAGATGGAGGTGTGTTAAGGTTGTAGTGGTTGATGTAGCCACTCCCCTTTGCTCGCCATATCCCAAATCTTTATGACATACTTTTTAGACTCGGTGGTGTTTAACTAGATATTTTAACCGGATGAAGGATTTGTGTCATCAGACGTCTGGTTCTTAAGTTATCAGAGAGAAAAGCTGAGGAAACGTTAGCGGCAGCTCGGCTCGCAAGTCCTCCAAGAGTCCACCGAACGGCGTCGGAGAAACACAGAATTTTGAACATGAAACAGCTTCATCCAGCGGTTTTACCACCTTTAATCAGCTGGTTCATTTGTTTTGGATGAACACTGAAGGAATCCTAACTCCCATGATTCCACCCTTCTTCAGCAATCTCCGTCTTTTGCTATTGTTTTGATTGAGAGACCCATAGTGGCAGAAAATGACATATTATACGTTTAAACTTGTCTTTGGACCCAACCAAAGCTGACTCAAGTGACATCACTTGAGGACATTTATCAGACTTCACACAGCTCCCTCTGGAGACACTACTGTGTTCACGTATGCAGTAGAAAAGCCTGTGGAGCTTTCCTTCCAGTGTGCCAGTAATAGTAGCTTTTGGTCGTATGTTCCAGCAGGTGAACATACATTGTCTATGTAAAGATATAATAGAGTAATGTCAACCTGAGCAGAGTGTGTGTTGTAATCAGAGCTTCTCTGTGCTTTGTTGACATACAGTAGCCGGGCCGACCTGCATGCATTGTAGTGCACGTGAGTCCCTGTGAGCGTGGCCCACTGGCTCGCTCATGGCCGCCACTCGGCACTGCACTCAAACAAAGATCACGGCCAGTAACGCCGTCCTGGCTCACGGCCTCGTCACAGAGGTGTGATGCCCACTTATCTAAATCATAGCTATGCTCTGAATGTGTAAGTGAATGTAACATACAGTCTGTGGTAGATGTACACTCACAATCTTTAGTATCAAATTACAACAAGAAAACCTCAAATGTCCACTTTGATATTGTCACTTACATTCCTGCTTTATTGTTTTCCATGAGAAGGTTACACTGAACTGCCAAGCTCCAGATAAAAAGGATGTCGGCATGACATCACTACGTGTCGGTGCTACTAGTCAGCTCTATTGGATTAGAAGAGGAGCTGTGATCTGTTACAGGTCCACTGTAATCTGCTTCTTCATCTGGCAGCAATGAATTATTTGGTTGACTGCTCCAGCTAAGAGATTGCATGTTTCTCGCTGATATTCTGGAGGCCTATCGTGTGACGTGTTGGTGGATCTTCCCAGCGGCAGCTGCCAAGTTTTGCCTCGCTCTCCTAACGAGATGCCTGGCTCTGATAGGAGGATGAAATGCCAACCAAAACACAGCACCGCTGATCGGTGTGCACAGCTTTAACTCAGTAATCAAGCTAATCTAGCCCAGTTCACCGGCTCCGCTTCCTGCTCCAGGAGGTGGAAATGATTAACTGTCAGGCTCTCCTGCACACTGGTAGGGACCACATATGGAAGGACGGAGACCGCTGTAATGCAGATGTCTTTGGACAGAGGGGCACCACTTTGTTTGGGAGCTGTTTCAGTTGAAAGGAATCCTAAACACCAATGAAAATAAGCAAACGGGCCAAGCAGAATGAGAGAGGTGACGCCCGAGTGTCTGACTTTGATCTGACCCGTCGTAAATAACGCCTGAAATTTTTCCCACATTTTTGAGAACTGTACCTCCACCAAGATATATGAGAGGGTGTTCCTCGTAATCCCCAGGACTCCCGTTTCCACCAGCGGGTACCAAGTCTGAAAGCAATAACACCTGCACAGCGTATCCTCTCTCTCTCTCTCTCTCTCTCTCTCTCACTCACTCACTCACTCTCACAAACACAAACACAAACATGGGATTCAACAAGCCAATCAGACTTGGCTCCGCTTCCGATGTTTACCGCCCACAGCTTGACGGCCATCTTTGCAAAGGTGCACCATATTTTTCACGCAAGCCAATGAGAGCAGAATGGGCTCTTTTTGTTCGGGAGGGGGGTTTAAAGTGAGACGGATGGTGAATACAGGTACTGTATATTCAGACAGACAGTGTTTTTGAACATCAAAGCATGTAAACATGTTCTAGTAGAAACCCAAAATACATGTATGAACCTGAAAATGAGCCCGATATTTCCCCTTTAAGATGTCCTGTGGTAGTTTCATATTACGGTCTACCACTGCCTTGTTCTGCTTATGAATTCTTCTGTTACTGTAAAGAACAGAAAGAGGCTCACTGTGACATTCTCTCTCTTTAGTTAACCATAACCTGACAACTTGTGTTTTCACCCTGCTGACACATAGAAAGGGTACTCATTGTGTTCTGTGTTCTCCAGATTGTGAACCTCATTGAAGAGACCGGACACTTCCACATCACAAACACTACTTTTGACTTCGACCTCTGCTCCTTGGACAGAAGTACAGTGAGGAAATTGCAGAGCTACCTGGACACCTCGGGACTGTCCTGAGGCTCTGAGCAGCTGGCTGCTGGATCTCTGTCTCCATGCAGACGTTTTTGATTTTTCTTGAATGAACTCCAACTTTGGATGCAATGCAAAAGCCCCACCGTGGCTGGGTCCGGTCTGCTGTGTGTCCGGGCTGCCGGTCGGACTGGGCCCTCTGAGTGAAGAGGTGGTCCCAGAGCCAGGTGTTGTGGGTCATGAGCCCTGTGGATCAGGAGATCACCCAGAAAGCCTTCAAACTTCACTTGATTTCTTAGAGAGAAAAAAAAAGAAAGTGGTTGCTCTTAATGAATGTGCTTATTGTTACCATGTATGTTCCTTGATTTGTTGTTCATTGTGACAAATGCATGGTCAGCATTGCCTTACAACATTGTAGGTCTTATTTATTGACTTTAGTGTGTGTGTGTGTGTGTGTGTGTGTGTGTGTGTGTGTGTGTGGGTAATTGAAATGGCAGAAAAGTAGAGAAACCTCAGAAATAGACTTTATTGAAGCACTTCACAGCAGGCATGTCTGTATCTGTGTGACAGTCGAGCATCACTGAGGACGCTGGATCTGACTTGAATGGAATGTCACCTCTGAATGGTTCCACTGGGATCAACAGCAGCAGGTGTGAAGGTGACGCTGATGACTTTGTATTGCAGTCTGTTAAAGGAGCAGCCTTGCAGAAAGCACTCCTATCTAGTGAGGTCGACCTGGAGTCAGTGAAGGGGAGTGGTTTGGTAACGACAAGCTTTTCATAAAATAACACGGGGCATGGTCTGGGTCGGGTTTAAATACAATCCAGTAGCCCCAATTCTGAAAACCAAATTTGTGGTTTTGAGTTCTGACTGGTTAAAAATATCCCAGATGCAAGCAAACAGCACAAGAAGAGGTCCAGGTTTCTGGGCTTCCCCATTGGTTTGTGGACTGCCGTTCTGAAGCCTTGAGTTCCGTGATTTCGCTGTAGCCATCTTGGATTACGGCCGTCGCCATGTTGTTTTTTTTGCAACCACAGGACAGAAGTTAACATATTTGGAATGCGGAGGAGTGACGTAGAGACGCCTTATACGGCTCTGGTAGCAGCAGAGACCTGTCAATCACAGTAAGCCCCGCCCTAAAGCATGCCCTGTTCTGCTAAATGGACTTCTTTTTGCAACCAGAGGAGTCGGCCCTGCTGGTCAGTAGAGAGGATGCAGGTTTTAAGACAATGGAAGTGTGCACCCATGACATGTAGGTTTGATTCTTACTACAAACCAGAGCTAAAGTTGTGACAGAGAAAGATCCAATTGGAATCTCTGTACAAGTCAACTTGTCTGGGGATGACGGTGCACGTGTTCCATTTCTCTCAGACGCGTTCGTGGTGTCGCTCGGTCGTACACAAACCCTGCTGTTCACTTTCACGCCTCCTCACACCCGGCCTCGCTGCCTACGGCCGCTGGGATTGTTGGAGGGTGTTTGAGATTGTTAGACAATCCAACTAGCACGTTGCTTCAAGATGCTGAGGCCTCCAGTGTGCAGGAGATACTCTAGCTTTGCAAAACTGTGTCTGATTTAGAGGTAGAAACATCAAGTCTTCGGTAACTACTTAAAGCTCTTATGTGTAGAATTCTATTTTGTCCCGCCTGCATTAGAATAAAAAACAACACTAGTTGTAACAAAATGATCTGACCAACTGCAAACAGAAACATTTAAAGGGAGCATCATGACATAATGTTCTTCACATGTTGGCTTTAAATCCCCACATTTTGGTTTTGTCCTCCTACAGACAGCTCTTGTACATGACAGACTAATGCGCACATCTGCATCCCCACAGGCCAAAAAGCTTAAATGACAGAAATGTTTTCCAGCTGTAAGGATTGGAGCACCACCACATCATCTCATACAGGTGCAACATCATTTGGTCTTTTGGTTTTTTAATTCCCATGTTTTGACTAAATAAAGAGCAACCTGCTCATCGGCTGCAACTTAAAGACTGCTTTGTTACGTTGGCTCATTTTCTGCCGACATCATCAACAGATCCAATTGGTTTAAGACCAATGTTTATCTCCAGAATACGATTGAAGAGACGTCATCAATATTCCATCGGGAACATGATGTAGAACAGACCCAGCCACCCTCTATGAGGCTCCTGTGTTCTGCATATTTTTGGTACATTTTTACAAAGAGAAGGGTAGTAAGCTGACAGGTACTGTTACAGTGTAAGAGGAAAGAACAATCTTATTTATTTAGTGGGTGTTGGAGCTGTTCAATCAAAGCTTGGTAACAGAAGCTACTTTGATGACGTGATGTTCAGGACGGTAAACAGTGGAGGTTCTTTCCAAATGACCTGAGAGGGTTTTTCTCACCCTGCGTTCTGTCTTATGGTTTCTTGTGTATTTTGAAGACATACAATAAACATTCTGTATGATGTACAGATGACTTATTAAAGCCCTTGTGGGTGAGCTTTTTTTAGCACAGGTTTTTATCCTGCTTTTCTTAAATGATCCTTTTTTTCTGAGGCTGTATATATTATTTCACGGTGCACAAACCGTGGTGCACGCTCAAGGACCTCTCAAGGTTGTGCCGACTCACACTTTCTCGAAACCCCGTCTATTAGTACCATGCAGGTACCTGCAGTACCGTGAAGATCCTCTCTTTCTGCAGAAACCCTCGCATGAAATGTTCATACTGCAGGTTGTGCAGTTGCTTAAAACCTGAAAATACAATAAGAAACAATGTGATGAAACCAGGATCACAGTATAAAGAGGGACAAGATCAGAAAGTGTGGGATCAAAATGTGGATCTCCCGCCTCTTGTGGATCACAAAAACCTGAGCCATGGATGTTCTTCTCATGTCGGTCTGAGTGGGACGTCTGACGGTAGAGCAGTTGGAAGTCATCCAGTTTCTCCTGCTCCTGTAGGCGAGGATGCTTTCTTCAGTCTGCATGTCACAGATCTAACCAGGCCGGCGCTGGAACAACCTGTTCCTGGTGCCTGAAGGATGCATGTTAAAGATGTCTCTGTGGAGGAGTCGGGAGGTGTTCAGCAGTGTTCTTCTATATTTAGTCTTTCAAATCTGTGCTGTTCCACTTCAGTTTCATCCTGAAGTCATGCTTCGGCCCCACTAGGTGAACATTTCCTCTTGAATATCAAAATGTAAAAGGTCGTCTTTCTCATGAACTGTTGTTCAGGATTTAATTGACCCCATGACCTCCAGCATCACCCTCAGGGCAAGCGTTACGTTTTGGCATAACCCTTCTCTGCCTCTTCAAGAACTGTGTTTTGAGTTCTTTACAGTCTCAAAAAGATGAATCTTACTAATTGCATTCATGTTGCACTACAGTTGAAGATGGGATAGAAATATTTCTGTGAGAAATGAGGAAACTAGAGCTTCACTCCCTCACCTCCACACACATGAGCATTCAGCAGGAAATGGAGGTAATCATCTATAATATTCCACAACGTGTTCAATGAAATATTGATATTCACTGATTTGGTTGGGAGGAAACCTCTTGGACACAACAGGCTGTCGCTGCTTCACCAAAGTGTTTTACCCAATTATATAAAAGCACAGCCTTTAAATATATTAAATATAGAGTCAATTACTGCTTGAGAATCCAATGAGATTCATAAACTGTACAAAATACATTGAAATAAGACCTGAGCAAATAATAAAAACCTGCTAAAAACTACACTTGTGCTTTCATGTTAACGTCTTTTCACTGGAGGTTTTAGTTGGGACCAGAAGGTAACGACTATGTACAGATGCAAAAGCAGAACATTACACAATCTGACATGATCTGCTCTTTCACAGTCCCACACAGTTAAACAGGTAATCCTGTGCTGTACCGCCCAGTTCCCCGTCTGTACACGCTGTCAGTTCAGCTGTTTGTCCAATGTCACCCTTATCTCATTTTAGGAAAATTGTCATAGTATGAAGAACACGCCACCATCTGCAAAATGATAATGATATGATAATAAAACATCCGACATCATAGCGCTACTTTATGTGCTACCTCGGCCACCGTCTGCCACCAATCTCAGCACGCAAACTATTTAACAATCCAGTGTTTTGGGGAAACGATACAGTATCAAAAAACATGATATTGCGATACTCAAGTGTATCAACTTTTTTCCCTTTACTGCGATATTGTTCATGGTGACCTCAGTTTCAATCTTCTATCAAAGAAATACTACAACAACTACAAGCTAATGAGGACAACAGTAGGCTCATCGGCAGATAGCCAATCAGATTGCAGCGGAGCAACCAGCAATCAGCTCCACTTGGCATCAAATTTGTGCCATCCGCTTTCATTGCCAGAGAGTTTTTTTTGAACAATGAGGGATGACGTTATTTTAAATCAAAAGGTCTCTGTGACCTCAGAAAACACAATATGGGCCGTAACTCAAGACCATTTACAAGTGTCTGATAGATAGAATGATTTGGATGCAAACTGCTTCTTGACTGGTTGGTCATATGGAGGCATACAACAACGAGCCAGTGTTTGGAAGATCCCCAACACACTCCCACTCCTTCTTTACTGAGGCTAGACTTGCCCCCTTATAGGTCATATGGTCAAAACTTAAAGGATAGGGAGGCCATGGACCCCACACATGAACATGAACAGCAAATTACTGGATGTATGCTTTCATTGAAAACACTGTTATAAACACTGATCAATAAAACCAAGCATCTGGTATATCTGCTATATATCTTTACGTTAGCTGCTAACCGCTCCAGCTTGTTCACCAGCTGGTCTCTAACTGTGTCTGCTGTTGGCTGCTGAGCAGGTAGTGAACAGTGACGTCATCAGAGACCTTAAACAGCTGCTGCTGCTGCTGAACCAGGCTGGTGAGAGTGGACATCGTGGATCAGAACATGTAAACTAAACTGGTGATAATTCTTCTTGAGCTCAACACTGCAACATACAACGCCTTATTATAATATATCATTTATTTCTAGCTACAATATTTAAGTGAGACTATGTTATTGTTAAAAGAAGAAATTCATACGCAATGAAACATCCTTGCTCAGTTGAATACACTCTTTTGCTGCTACAGTCTAACTGTCTAACCTTACTGACATTATTCAGTTACTTTGCTGACTCTTCTCTGCATGTACTGCTAACCGCCGCTCCATTAATCCCTGATAACAGACATCTCATTGGGAATTATACTTTATTTGTGGTATTGGACAGTAAAACTCTATCTGCACTTATAAATGGACCCATACTGTATTCATTTGTTCATATGGCATCATCTCCTGTGTACAGCACACCTCAGGCTTCGGTACAAGCAGCAACAGTTGAATTAGTGAATGGGTTCACTGGCATTCACAGCTGGAGACAAGAAGAGGAGAAAGTGGCTGCTCAGACTCCTGGATTAATTTAAGCTATTTTCCTCTGAGAGAATGAAGCTGAGAGGGGGGGGGGGGGGGGGAAAAGTGAATGTGCACTGGCGGAGGGGGGGGGGGCTCCAGCCAGCAGGACATCCTGTTTGAGCTTCCAAATACCACTTCCTCCAATAAAAAGGGGGAGACCTTCGAAATAATCTCCCACAGAAGAGACACAGAGACATTGATTGTCACCCTGGCACAAGGCCAAGGCTGAGGAGAAAAGCTGCCCCCCCGTCAAGCCTTTGGACGGTAGTCAAAAAGCACCTCGAGGAAGTCATTAAAGCTCAAGGTTGATGAAAAGTCTCTCCTTCCTCATCTCACCTCTGCATGTCTGAGGGCATGTTGCTCAGACAACTTTTAAGTTCTTTCTAAAAGCAGGTGTAGGTTCCAGGGCCACATGATGGAGTTATAAGCTTGATGAGCAAAGTACTATATAATACCTAACACAATAACTCATGCTGTTAGATTGCTTTCTTCTATTGCTTCCAAGTTGTGGGTAATATCTTTCAAGTCTTCCCGTGGCAACCACTTTGCTAATCTGAGCAACCACACCCATTACCGAAGCAGCCACTCTCCAGCTACCACTTTAAATATGTAGAAAAACAGA